CCTGTAATTCCGGCTACTCGGAAGGCTGGGGCGGAAGGATCGCCGGAGCCCAGCGGGTCGAGGCTGCGGTGGCCGGGAGCAACAGAGTGAGACTCCAACTCAAAAAACAGACAGACAAAAAAAAATAACCTGACCTTGCCTTTAGTATAAAGCACAAAATCCTTAGGCCTCCTAGGCCTATGTCACCTGACCCTCCCCAACCTCGAACGTTTTGCCCCCATGTCCTAACTTAGTCTACCGGTGGACAGGATCCAGAGGGCAGCAAAGGCCTTTGCACCCCCAGGCCTCTGCCTGGTTAGCTCTCACACCATCTTCAGGCTGCTTTTCAATGTGGCCTTTTCTGACACTCCCTGGTCCTGCCAGCAAGGTCATGTCCCTCTCTTGTAGACTGTGTCCTGCCTTGTGTTGTCCTTCATTGCTTTTGTCACAGTTGTCGCTAGTCAGATATTCCTGCCCACAAGACTCCAGGTGTCTATGAGCAGAATCTGTTCTGTTTGCACCCCATCTGTCCTCAGGGCCTGACAGCAGGAAGCTGACCCATTGTAGGAAGGCAAATCCTGGACAGATGAGTGAAATCTGTCTTTCCCGCTTTGCATCAATTGGAATTACTTTAGCATTTTGTTTGCTACGCCACAAAGAAAGCTAGCACAGAAATAAAATGCCTTGTCCTGAGTCATAGAGCAAGCCAGGATGTGCCACCAGAGCCCGTCCTGGACCTGAGGCCGTCTCCTGGGGATGGGGTTCAGATGCTAACTCTCATGACTTGGCAATCAAGTCCTTGGAAGGTGCTGGGGTGTGAGTGCACACCTTGCTGTGTCCCTCCTTTGTCCAGGATTCAGACATCTGCAGTTTAGGTCAGTTTCTTTTTCCTCGATGAGTCCTTCTTTAGTCAGCGAGTGACATTAATTTGACTTTGGGTCTGGACCTGCTCATCAGCAGGGGTGAAGATTTGGATGACTCTTGCTGGGAGGATACACAACTTTTGGTAAAATACCAAGCATCTGTGTGTGGGCTGGGCCCCTGCCTGGTCTCCCTCTGGTAGCGCTCTCAGACCACATGTGACTGGCTGTCTGCGGGGACAGTATTAGCGGCAGGTGGGGAATGCCCAGAGGTTCATTTCTGTCCCAGGAGATCTGTCCCAAGAACCACCTCTAAGTGGACCTGCTATCTTGTTTCCTTAGCAAGTATCAGCCCGTGAGCAAATTCCAGTCACAGGTGTTGTTTCGCCCAAATAGTGTCTTAAAACTTTTCACTAGTACAAATTTTTAAAAGTCAAGGTTAGCCGGGCTCAGTAGCTCAGCCTGTAATCCTGCACCTTTGGGAGGCTGAGGTGAGTGGATTGCCTGAGCCCACGGGTACAACACCCTCCTGGGCAACTTGGTGAGACCTCATCTCTACAATAAATCAAAAATCAACCGGGCGTGGTAGCATGCGCCTGTAGCAACAGAGTGAGACTACAACTCAAAAAATAAATAAATAAATAAATAAATAAAAGTCAAGGTTACCGTGTACAAGCTTGAGTTTCTATGTTCTGGGGAAATGAAGGAAAGCCTGGCAAATCCGGCTCTCAACAGTCAGCTAGCACTGAGTTTTTGTTTTTTTTTTTTGAGTTGGAGTCTCACTCTGTCGCCCAGATTGGAGTGCAGTGGCTGCTCCCGGCCACCGCAGCCTCGACCTGCTGGGCTCCGGCGATCCTTCCGCCTCAGCCTTCCAAGTAGCCGAAAATACAGGCGCGCGCTACCACACCCTGCTGATTTTTTTTTTTTAATTATTTTATTGTTCAGATGAGGTCTTGCTGCCCAGGCAGGTCTCGAACCCGCGGGATCAGGCAATCCACTCACCTCAGCCTCCCAAAGGCGCAGGATTAGAGGCTGAGCCACCGAGCCCGGCAGTACTGAGTTTTAAGACTACCCCTCTCAAGCAGGATGTCTTATTTGCTGTGGTCCTGGCCTGTCCTGCCGTGGTTATCCTCCTGTCATGTGTTGATACATGAGTTTGCAAACCCTATTATATTTTTAAGTTGTATATGTATGTATGTGGTATATGTACAAGGTCAAACGAGTAAGTTCACAAACTCATCCTAGAAAAAGTGCTACATGGGCAACCCCTTCAGATCCCTGTGGGAGTTTTCTCTCCTTTCAATAAATTCTGCTTTCTAGCTGGGCTCGGTGGCTCAGCCTGTAATCCTGCGCCTTTGGGAGGCTGAGGTGAGTGGATTGCCTGAGCCCGCAGGTTCGGGACCCACCTGGGCAACTTGGCGAGACCTCATCTCTACAATAAATCAAAAAATTAGCCGGCGCCTGTAGTTCCAGCTACTTGGAAGGCTGAGGCAGAAGGATCGCCTGAACCCAGCAGGTTGAAGCTGCGGTGGCTGTGAGTGTGCCACTGCACTCCAGCCTGGGCAACAGAGTGAGACTCCAACTCAAAAAAAATAAAAATAAAAATTCTGCTTTCTAAAAAAAAAAACAGTGCTACACACCTCATTGCTGAATATCACTACGGTCACCTTTGAAGTGCTCCCCTTGGGAAGCTATGCATTCACACCAGCACCTAGTGTACCCATCCAAAAGAGTTTTGGAACTCTTTTTCTGGAATATCCCTCAGAGCTGTTGCCATATGACCCTTGATGTCCTGAATGTCATCAGAATGTCTCCCTTTCAATATTTCTTTTATCTTTGGGTGAAGAAAAAAAGTCATTTTACCAGGTCAGGTGAGAAGGGAGGGTGTTTCAATACAGATGTCTGTACAGTGCTACCATCATAAGCGCATGGTGGCGAATTCACGAACTTAATCGTCACCCTCAACAAATACTTACGACAGCTCGGATGGCCATTCCCGAACAAGAGTTCCAAAGTTGCTGTAGGCTAGGTGCTGGCTTGGGTTCACAGCTTCCCAAGGGGAGTCCTTCGAAGGTGACCATTGTGATATTCAGCAGTGAGGTATGTCATACTTTTTTCTAGGATGCTCAGGAACCTAATTGTTGGACCTCGTATATACATGAAAGTTGCCATTGACATGGTTTTCTTAATTTGTTTCTACTTCTTTCTCTTTCTTTATTTTCTACTTTCACCTCCCTTTCCTCTTCTGCTTCTACGGTTTCACAGGTCCTGGGCCTGCTGGTGTGGACACTTATCGCCGGAACTGAGTACTTCCGGGTCCCTGCATTTGGCTGGGTCATGTTCGTAGCTGTGTTCTACTGGGTCCTCACCGTGTTCTTCCTCATCATCTACATAACAATGACCTATACCAGGATCCCCCAGGTGCCCTGGACAACAGTGGTAAGGAGGCCCTGGGTGGTGTTCCTGTCCCTGCCCGCCTGGTTGGATGACATCCGTCCTCCACTGCAACAGCACCCGTTCCCCCTTCTGCCCGAGTCTCATGTTCCAGGTGTGTTGTCCAGATCAGAGACGGGCAACCTTTCTCCCTGAAGGACCCATCGTAAACATTGCTATCTCCTTGGCCTCTGTGCTCCCGGGCTCAACTGCTCACCCGCCTTCACCAGTGCCACCATAGTGATCTATAAATGAGTGAGCATCACTGTGGTCCAGTCAGACTTTTTTTTTTTTTTTTGAGTTGGAGTCTCACTCTGTCACCCAGACTGGAGCTCAGTGGCCGCTCCCGGCCACTGCAGCCTTGACCCGCTGGGCTCCGGCGATTCTTCCGCCTCAACCTTCCAAGGAGCCGAAACTACAGGCATGCGCTACCACGCCCGGCTAATTTTTTAAAATTTATTATAGAAACGAGGTCTTGCCAAGTTGCCCGGGCTGATCTCGAACCCGCAAGCTCAGGCAATCCACTCGCCTCAGCCTTCCAAAGTGCGGGGATTACAGGATGAGCCACCAAGCCCAGCCGGTACCTTTCTTTAAAAAATTAACAGTGCCCCCTTCTGGCACTCCTAGCTTGATTTGCATTATCAGAATTTATAAGCAAAGGTGTGTCCCCATTTCATAGATAAGGAAGGTAAGGTCTGAAGTCTTGTGACTTTGCACCCTTTTTTTTTCTTACCTAGAGTCTCCCTCTGTCACCCCGGCTGGAGTGCAGTGGCACGCTCAAGGTGATCCTTCTGCCTCAGCCTTCCAAGTGGCAGGTGCTACAGATGAGCGCCACCACACCCGGTTAATTTTTGGGGTTTATTGTAGAGATGAGGTCTCCCCAAGTTGTCCAGCTGGCTCTTGAGCCCCTGGGCTCAGGCAGTCCTCTTGCCTCTGCCTCCCAAAGTGCTGGGATTAAAAGTCATTTTACAGCCGGGCTCGGTGGCCCAGCCTGTAATCCCACGCCTTTGGGAGACTGAGGTGAGTGGATTGCCTGAACCCGGGAGTTCGAGACCCGCCTGGGCAACTTGGCGAGACCTCATCTCTACAATATATCAAAAAAATTAGCCAGGCATGGTAGCGTGCACCTGTAGTTCCAGCTACTTGGAAGGCTGAGGCGGAAGGATCGCCGGAGCCCAGCGGGTCGAGGCTGTGGTGGCTGGGAGCGGCCACCGCACTCCAGTCTGGGCGACAGAGTGAGACTCCAACTCAAAAAAATTAAAATTAAAATTAAAAAAATATTTAAAAAGTCATTTTACCACTGCGCCCAGCTTGTCACCTCTTTAGCAAACTTGAGAATATTCTTTACTGCACAAGGAAATGAGCTGAGATGTGTTCCCAGGATTTCTCAGTCTTCTGCTTGTTTGTTTGCTTTCCTAAGAGAATCCAGAAATCTGGGCTGTTGTGTGAAGTCTCTCAATTGTAAAATGTTTACAGTGATTTTAGAAATTCATTTGTTGGCCAGGCACAGTGGCTCATGCCTATAATCCCAGCACTTTGGGAAGCCGAGGTGAGAGGATTGCCTGAACCCACGGGTTCGAGACTGGCCCTGGGCAACTTGGTGAGACCTCGTTTCTACAGTCAATCAAAAGTTAGTCGGGCGTGGTAGTGCACGCCTATAGATAGTTACAGCTACTTGGAAGGCTGAGGCAGAAGGATCACTGAAGCCCAGCAGGTCAACGCAGCGGTGGCCGTGAGTGTGTCACTGCTCTCCAGCCTGGGCGACGGAGTGAGACTCCAACTCAAAAAAAAAAAGAAGGAAGGAAGGAAGAAAGAAAGATGCAAAATCGTAGACCCCACTTCTGATTTGATCTCAGAATCACTGAATCACGGACACAGGAAGACTTGAGAATCTCTGTATTGACAAGCTTTCCAGACAATTCTTTGGCACCCAAAGTGTGAGTAACACTGGTTTAGAAATAACTATAAGTCGGACTTGGTGGCTCAGCCTGTAATCCCGGGCCTTGGGAGGCTGAGGTGAGTGAATTGCCTGAGCCCGCGGGTTCGAGATGCGCCTGGGCAACCTGGCGAGATCTCATCTCTACTATAAAAATCAAAAATCAGCCGGGCGTGGTAGCGCGCGCCTGTAGTTCCAGCTACTTGGAAGGTTGAGGCGGAAGGATTGCTGGAGCCCA